TAAGAAGTTCCGAAGCCAGCTAATGATCGAAACGAAAGGTGAAATCAGTAGAAAGGAGTATGACGAAAGGAAAACAAAATCATGCTCCACAATGCGTGCCAAACTGCGCTTGTTCATTAGACTCTTGTCGTTACGCCTCACTTCGTTCAAAGGAATACCAAGGAGATTCACGACATCGCTCCGGCCACATGCACTTCTGCATGCATCTTAATGAAATCTGCATCCACGACTGCAAGCGGGGAACAAGGCCTGAAACCGATTGGAACACTACGGCCGAAATCGGGAACCTAAAGCCTGAACCCCACCACCTAAACATGCCCACAGAATTCGCACACCTCAACTGCAGCCACACGCCCGGGCACGCACAGGCATCTCAAGGTGCCATTTAGGGTTTTGGGCTTAGGCTATAGGGTTAAAGGGTTTGCAAGGGTGGGGTGTATGATCAAGCCACGCCGCCGGCTGCAAGCTAAGCGGCCCATGTGATCCTAAAACCCATAAAGCCCCTAACCGCAGGTCCCTAAAAGCCTATATCCCAATACAAGGCGGCACTGGAGGCTTTGTCACACATGCTGTTATCATTATGCAACCCTAAACCCTAAACCCTAAACCCTAAACCCTAAACCCAACACGAAGCCTTGTTCAGGAGCTGGAACTTCTTGGGGTCTCCGCCCTTGTCCGGGTGCTCGGCCAAGACCTTCTTGCCTCAGTAACTGCAGTGGGGTTTAGGGTTTAGGGTTTAGGGTTCTACAAAGAGTTACTGTGAAGGTACGAGGAAGACAGTTCGGAAAATGACTCTGGTATTTACAGCAATGCTTACCATTTCGAAACTCCAGGAAACGAACATTAAAAGTTGATCGTCACAAACCGGTGACAAACTTTGTTATCAACAGTGCAGACCACGAGTGAAGAAAGACCGACAGGACTACAGTACCCACACGCTGGGAAATCCAGGCCACGACCCCACAACTATATATTCCCTGCATGGCGGCTCTCGTGAGCAGAAGGAAAGCAGGTGTGCAACTAGGACGCAAAACTGCATGGCAAAAACAATAGAATTTCAGAGAGGAGGTTGGGCACGAAGCTTGAACCTATGACAAAGGTCACCGGCAGCAATGTTCACAGTATGAGACTTGCTCACGAATGGAAAGGTTGGCACAACAACACAGAGAGTTCTCGCAGCCCATAATAAGGCCTAAACCCTAAACCCTTAAACCCTAAACCCTAAACCCTAAACCCTTAAACCCTAAACCCTTAACCCTTAAACCCCAAACCCTAAACCCTCAAACCCCCAAACCCTAAACACTTAAACCCCGAACTCTTCAAAAGCATCCGCTGGGTGCCGCACGGAACTCGGCGCGGATCTCCTGCAGCGTGGCGCCGCGCTGCACACCCAGGAGCTCCTTTCCGGCAGACCATGATTTTAGGGGTTTAGGGTTTAGGGTTTAGGGTTTAGGCTTTCGGCTGTAGGGTTTATTCTTTAGGGTTTAGGGTTTAGGGTTTAGGGTTTAGGCTTTCGGCTGCAGGGTTTATTCTTTAGGGTTTAGGGTTTAGGGTTTAGGCTTTAGGGTTTAGGGTTTAGGCTTTAGGGTTTAGGGTTTATTCTTTAGGGTTTAGGGTTTAGGGTTTAGGGTTTAGGGCTTAGGGTTTAGGGTTTAGGCTTTAGGGTCTCGGCTTTAGGTTTAGGCTTTAGGGTTTAGGCTTTAGGGTTTAGGCTTTAGGGTCTCGGCTTTAGGGTTTAGGCTTTAGGGTTTAGGCTTTAGGGTTTAGGCTTTAGGGTCTCGGCTTTAGGGTTTAGGCTTTAGG